TCTTGGCTTCTAAATTTATCGAACCATCCATTATCGCATCTACCTGAGACAGTCGCTGTACTAATTTTCCCCTCCAAATGTTTGCCATATTTTCGGAACCCACTGCCGTGAGCCACTGTAAATTAATATAGCTGAATGTGCAACCTGTTCTGCAGTTCAAAGATGTCCCTCTTAATATCTAAACACTTATGTGTAAACGTCAATCAACCTGGACCCAAACGGGAAAATGCAATTATGATTGAAGGGTTATTTATCAATTCCCACATGCTAGGCTGTCACACAGGTATGGTATTTGGCGCTTTCCGTCAGGTGTTCGCAGAAACTTTCCAAACTAATGAACGAATTTTGCAAATTGTGGTAGTTGATTTTGGATTCTACTGTAACCAAAATCTTATGTTGCATGAAGCGGCAGCAATTCCTAAGCCCAGCTGTTGCATGTGGTTTTGAATTCTGCCTAACACACGGACTTCATACGCTGTAATTCTGGCTGGCACTTGACTATTTGCCTCTAATTGTATCCAGCTTTCGGCGTTTCGCCTCCAGCCGGTAATTGTTGCCTAGAGGTGGCTTCATCCAATGTGATGTTTAAAATAAATGGCTGATTTCAGGTTAACTAATCACTTAAACATTAAAATTTAATGATACTCAGCATTAGTTATATCGATCAGCAGATTCTCCTCAACTCAAAACCGTAGGACTTTTATACATCAGCCACAGAATATTGCTACAAGCCATGCAGTCGCACTGCGGTGTATACATCACAATTTCGCTAAGGTTTATTTGATGGTTTACTCGTGGCAAACGGAAGTATATATATATGTATATATATTATATATATATATATAACAACAAATCCGACAAGTCATAACACATAATATTAGTAGTCTTTATCTGTATATTACTCAGGAACTGAATGTCTTTTGCTGTGTGGGCAACGCTCAATATGCACAAGAGTTACCGTGCATTTGCATAGGCGATAAGTAAACGTGCTAACAGCTGGGAAATGTACTAACCGAATTATATGTAGGCACTTCCGAGCATGGATTTCGCAAACAGAGCAATATTTATTTAGCTGTGAGAAATGTGTCAAAGCTATTAGAACAACACAACAAAAAGACTATCATACTCGAAAGGCTCAGTTGTTCTACTATCTATTTGTCCATTTGCGTCAACAGAGATGTCTTAAAGGCGGAATTCAACCGATTACATTACTACATTCTCCAAATCCAACGGCAATGTTCCTCTTACTGGGTTAGGTATATACAGAGGAAATCTGGAAATGTATGTGTTATATTTGGATTGCTAACCTTGTCCGAATTACATCCATATTCAACAAAAAAGTAAAGAGTCAGAAATGTCATTATGCGTGTTAGATCGCACAATTACTTGCGAAAAGGAAAATCGGACCGATTATTTTCTTCCAGTGATCACCACTATCACTATTTAACCCTTCTTCACACTTCATGGTTTGCATACTACGAGGAAAATCGCGGTTCCAGAGTATGTGGATCATGGTGTTACATTGTAACGAATAGCTACCGATTAAAGCAACTAGCACGTGTGATCCACATTGTTTCCCTACTTCATCTTCAAACTACAACGGCTGCGGTCCATACATATTGAAAGTCGTGCTACACTACGATGGAATGACGGAAGTCCCATTGGATAGCTGGTTGAAGCCTCACTCCAGGTTGCCTACCGAGTTTAGGCTAAAGAGAGCAGGTGCACGACCACTAGTTTTCGGCACCTCATTGGAACATGCAACCTTAGTAACATATTTGCCTCCACAATCCTGCAGATTTGCTGACAATATGGCATTAGCGACACCTAAATACAGAGGGAGATACACGAAAGAACATCACCATCTGCGATGCTCCATGTTAACAAGCCAACCTATGAACGGTAGGCTTAAAAATAACGGAAATTTATTGTCCACCCACACACTTCTAACATCAAAACACTATATCGTTTGTATACTAACGTTCATGGTCTTCTTAGTAAGTTGGCCGAACTTAGTGAATGCTAAACGTCACAACCGCGGGATCTCATTATGATTACGGAGACCTGGTTATGTTATAAGATAGAAGCTTCTGAAGTCACTTTAGCTGATATGTCACTGCTTCTGATTGACAGATCTGAAAGAGGTGATGGCGTAATTCTGTGTTACAAGGCTAATATACGATGTGAAGTTATTGACCACCCAGAGATCCGTATGCCAAATTCTCTTTGCTGCCGACTAAGGTTGCGAAACAAATACACGTAACTTATAGCTGTGATTTACCGTTCACCAAACTACATGTGAAATGGACTCCCAACTAAACCACCTTCTTCTGGTTGCTTTGAGCATGACACGGTCACATTCTCATCGCAGGGGAATTTAATGTGCATGACCTAGAAATAGCGGCTACTGATAGCATGCGTTTCAACGCCGTTTACAAAGATAATTTCCAGCTTCCCTCTGTACAACCACGTGACCACTCCCACGGTTTCGAGCGGTTAACAAGCCGTCGATACTTGATATTCTGTTCACCAAAGTAGAACTCATAGGCGAAGAAATAATTACAAGCACACCACTGGGTCATAGTGACCGTGTGACTCTATTGTTTAACTATGTATGTTATGCGGAATATTCTGAGGAAGTGGATGATAAAGTGTCTACGGTCATGCACTACAATGTATTATCATGCCAGTTAAGGAGGTAACTTGGACCTTCTTAATTGAATGCTCTAAGAAACCGCCTGGGACACTTTCACAGAAACATTCACCACACTGGTACCGCACGCATCTGAGCAGAAACCCTTCCATCCTCAAAGAAGAAGGAAATCGGTTCTGAGGAGCAGAACACGCAAATGCATGTCTTTGAGGGACTTGGCATGGAGAGCTCACAAGGACTCCCCGAATCCCAAAACCTGGACTGTCTAAGTGGCACAGAGTATTTTCTCTGTGAGTTTGATCCGAGAGGACAAGGTGACGCATCAGCAGGTTTTAATGAAGAGATTCTGCACGAACCGCTAACTTATGCAAGCATGTTAATGGCCCTCGTAAAATGCAACGCGGAATTCCAGAAATGATCACGACTGACGCGTGCACGCAATCAGCAACAGAAGCAGCCGAGCTCTTACGGTTCCATTACTCGCCAAAATTCCAGAAAAGAACGGGCCCAACAGTTATTACTATTTCTATTGTTCCACCATCATCTTTACTTCAGAAAGGTTGTCAAATAAACTGTTGTCCCCACGTATCCACAGCTACCTTGGTGTCGATAACATTCTATCAATGGCTTTACAGGCAGCAGCCGGCGATCTGGCGGGACCGCTCGCTATATTCTATCAGCGCTATATGGAGGAGTACCAGATTACAATCATATGGATGCGAGGGGACTTCACTCCTATTCATAATAGAGGTAGTCGTACTGAAACAACAAGCGTCCTATTGCGCTACTCTCTGGCTTTTCAATCTTATGGAGTCTATCATCGCTGATGCAGTGATACAATAGCTGGAAAATCACAAGATGACAGCACCAGAGCAACATGGCTTCCGACAAAAGCACTCAGGCATTACAACCCTGATAAGTGTACGCAATAATTGAACTGGTACCGTTGATTGTGGTGCAAGAGTCGGTCTCCTTTACATGGAGTCCGCAAAAGCGTTTGATCACTTAGAACACCAAATCCTCCTCTATAAAATTCCGCTCCATGATACTGGTGACCCACCGCTGCCTTGTGTAGATAAGTTCCTGTATGAATGTCAGTTGGAAGTGCGAGTACGAGAATCCCTATCCAATGAAACTGAGGTAGAGTGCGGCGTACCAAAAGACTCGGTGCTCGGGACCCGTCTGTCCTTGATTTCACAAACGATATGGCGAGGGAAATTACTTTTATTTCTTATACCTCTCGGATGATATCAAGTTATGGCGAGTGATCTAAGAACCGAAGAAACATGAAAAGCTGCAGCATGACCTCAACAAGACTTCAACCCGGTCAGTTATGTATACTCTATCGTAAAATGTGGAAAAATGTCACGCTGTTCAATGGCGCTATATGCATGACTACGTGTGTAGGTTTAGGTTAAGTATATTGCGAACAACTTCCAAAGAAAGCGATCTTGGTGCACACCTTCAAAGTGACCTTAACTGCTTAAAGCAAGCGGAGGCAACTGAGAAGAGAGCCAACCAGAACCTCGGCTTGCTGCATAGAGCATTCGGAAAATTTCACCCAACCATCAACCCTGCACTGCACAATTCTTAACTTCGTCGTCACGTTGACTACGTCAACCAAGTTTTGCAACCTGGTTGAAACGCGACTTATAAGTGCTGGAAAAAGCACAACGCAGGGCCACAAAGAACGTAAAGGGCCTACGAAAACTGTCTTACCATCAAAGGATAAATCCACTGAGAGTTTTCAGTGGCCGCTACCGAAGGCTGCGCGGCGATCTCATATTAGTCTACCAAATAATAATTGGCACAAAAGCCTAGGTCGTCGCTTGTTGAAACGCAGCCACAACACCAATCTCAGAGGTAACCCTCTGCAATTGTGTGCACAGTTTAGCCGCCTGGAATGCCGGCGGAATTATAGTTCTCTTCGTTTTTGCCAACCCTAGAACACTCTCCCCAACTTCGTTGTTTCTTCCCCACATTGAATATCTTTTAAAAATTGGATTATTCCATTGGCCCCCATCACTTTGTTGCCTAAACCGTACTACTTTGGAATGTAATAATTCACCCTTCAAACCAGATTACTAGCTTATGTAGTTCTGTGGAGGTTGTATCGTAGTGATTTTTCTCATTTTACTTTTCTCACGGAGTACAACAGCTGTACCTGTCTCCATGTTGCCTCGACGTTCACATTTAATGCCCACTTACACTACTGTTATTAAGCAGCCTATCTTCTAGCACCCCTTCACCACACCCTCCCCCCCCCTCACCCCTATACTGACCCACCCAATCTCCGTCCCCCCCCCCCCCCCCCCCGGCCTCCCACCCCCCCCCATCCTAAATTCCCCTACACCTCAACATTAACCATCCACCTACCCACCCTACCCCCTCCCCCACCACTCATACACCCATCCAAACATACCCCAACCCCCCCCCCCCCCCCCCCCCCCCCCCCCCCCCCCCCCCCCCCCCCCCCCCCCCCCCCCCCCCCCCCCCCCCCCCCCCCCCCCCCCCCCCCACCCCCCCCCCCCCCCCCCCCCCCCCCCCCCCCCCCCCCCCCCCCCCCCCCCCCCCCCCCCCCCCCCCCCCCCCCCCCCCCCACCCCCCCCCCCCCCCCCCCCCCCCCCCCCCCCCCCCCCCCCCCCCCCCCCCCCCCCCCCCCCCCCCCCCCCCCCCCCCCCCCCCCCCCCCCCCCCCCCCCACCCCCCCCCCCCCCCCCCCCCCCCCCCCCCCCCCCCACCCCCCCCCCCCCCCCCCCCCCCCCACCCCCCTCCCCCCCCCCCCCCCCCCCCCCCCCCCCCCCCCCCCCCCCCCCACCCCGCCCCCCACCCCCCCCCCGCCCGCCCCGCCCCCACCCCCCCCACCCTCCCCCCCCCCCCCCCCCCCCCCCCCCCCCCCCCCCCCCCCCCCCCCCCCCCCCCCCCCCCCCCCCCCCCCCCCCCCCCCCCCCCCCCCCCCCCCCCCCCCCCCCCCCCCCCCCCCACCCCCCCCCCCCCCCCCCCCCCCCCCCACCCCCCCCAATCACTACTCTAAGTTGCTAACTCTACGTTGCAAGCTTTTGCTTCAGATAAGGGAAATGTTTAGATTTTTATTGTTCACTTCCGTTGTGTACGCGAACCAAATGGTAGAAACATCATGAACGTCAGAACACGTTTCATCAACAAATTATTCACACACTAAAGAAGCTGTCCTTAGTTGTGATATAATTTGGATGCAGGTGGACGTGCAATACTCATGTAAAATAATCACATTACCTTCATATTTTTAAGAAAAAGGAGAGGAGTAGCCTGAAGATGAACCCTCAGAACATATTTTATTGTAGTTGTTTCGGTGTGGCCCTTCCCAACTCTGACACGAGTGACCGGTTTTATCTTTTTTGAACACAGCAGATTGCGATAACCTGAGCGGGGATGGAACGAGTGGCATAATAGCTAAAGGCTGAGACACTTATTCTATGCCTCAGTGATCCATGAATAACGTTTGACATAGCGTTACGGAACTCCAAGATGGATTTTGAGCACCCACCTTGTGGCTGGACTGCGACAATTAATCTCTATGGAGACCTCGGTTCATTTTGAAGTAGGCTTCGGTCATTCAGCTCAGAACGAATGTGTCCGAAATGGAGTTGTTTCGTGCTTCCTCCTCCCAACACTGATACCTCATGACCGGTTTCGTCCTCGCTAGTATTCTACGAGCTGTGCCAAGTGTTGCCCACGGATCTTCGTGGTATAGTGCCAAAGGCGTCGGTCTTTGACAACTGGGTCCTGATTTGCACACCAGCTCAGGTTGTCTCCATCTGAGGAGTCCAAACCAGGACGAAATTTATCAAATGGTGGCATTATTGGGAGCTGCCACATCAAAACACCTCCATTTCATGTACTAGCTTTGTGATCGAATGAACTATTTCAACTTCAAAGTGAAGCAAAGTCCCAATACCGTTTGAGTGTCGAAATCAAGCCACAGGGTAAGCAATCAAAATTCAACTTTGGACGCTTTGGTGCTTTTTCTATTGCAGGCAGCTCTTTGTTGATGGATGGTTTTCTATCAACCTCCCTTACTTTAACAGACAAAACATAGTGGAACACCATCTTGATAAAATAAAATCCCTTGTAGTCTGGTACTGAACAACTACCACAACTGCTGTTTACTATACTCTAAGTTATGTGTTCATTTGCGCAAGGCCTTAGGTCAGTCCCCTAAGAGAATACCAGTGTGCCTCGCTGGGCTTAAACTAACCCGGTGTAAGTATGCGATCGATAAATAACTGCATGATTAAACATTATTTAAATATTTATGTCTTCTTGGTCCTAGACCTAGTAATGATTGCTACGCGTATAGCGTTTGGCTCCAAGTTTAACCATGCATGGAATCTCAACGGATAGGCAAATCAATTTGCAGATGTCTAGTGAATAGCTTGTATTCAACCTCCTAAATGGCGCTTAATCAAACGTTTCGCCGCTGGTGATTGTTCAAGTGCTGGAACTATTTACTTCTATAATTCTGTTCGTCAGCATATGGGCGGAAGAAATCGGTGAATTTATTGACATTACTTTTAGCACAGCAATTAAAAGCACGTACTTTATTTTGCGGCAAAGGAATCTTTAGTAATATTGCCACCTAAGTTAGGAAACAGTTCGTAAGCATTATATTTACCTTTCAGCGCAATTTTAGTTTCGACCAGACCTTCACAAAGCTAATCTTTGACAAGCTTGTGTTATACAGACAGCATGATTAAGCATATCCCCTTTGTTCTTCATATTAGGATGCGCATGCTAATTTGAAAACCAACAGCGCATTGCGCCTTTATTAAATTGCAATTATTTACGAGTTTAGTCAAGTGAAATATAAGATTTCTTAGCATTGCTACCACAAGTTTCCGTATCAACTACTTCATGATGAGTTCAGCAATTAATTTACATTTTCTTGCCCAGAGACAATTTGACAGTTAAACGATGATAGGATGGAATGTGTTGCTTTAAATATTTATCCAATAGCTGATCCTAAATGAAATATCGGTTTCGTATTTTACAAAAAGTTATCTAATATTCAATGATGTAAGATTTTGTTACGTATCGCTGGCGTCAGATATTTTATCTGCATCAATCTACAGACTGTAAACATGTGAAATAGAGTAAATATTCGACGATCACACGATAAACAACATCACTAACCAAATAATTAAAATCGTTGACGGATGAAAGCTCTCCTTGTTGCACAAATCGAATCATAATTACCCAATGATTTTTAAGATATGTACCGAGATGTATTCTGTGACCATTTTTTGGTTTGTAACATATTTTTCCCACATCTAAGTATGACGGCCAGTCATGCTCTTGAACTTGATTGTTTACACCAAATTTAATTTCCATATGTGCTCATCAAACTCTAATATCATAGCTATCTAAAAGTAAGCAAGTTCTTCGAGTCCAAAGAAGATACACTGAACAAATTAGAGGTGAAAAATAAACAAATAGACGGGTACACAAAGGCTGAAATAGAGATACATGTTGTTGTACCACTCTCAGTGATATACATCCGATCTGTACGGCATAATCTAGCCATTTATCCAGCCACTCCCTCAGAAGATTATAGTAGTCAATTCTCACTATGTAAATGAAATAATTTGCGCAAACTTACAAGAAGTGCTTGGGCTGCATAAAAAACCACATTCTCAAAGGTGTTGTGGGTCTAACTGTAACTCTCATGGCTATTGTCTACTACCAATTTGAGATGGCAGCCATAATCCGCAACCATTTGTACAACAGGTGGTGCTAGCATGTGTTTGTAACCGATACCATGCATAATATAGATCTGTGGAATCTTGAATATCAGCCAGCGTCTCATAGGGTTCAGCCTCCGCTATTCACCATATCCAAACTTGCGGCCTGCTCATATGTCACCGTATAATCTCATTTTTATTCGCGATACACTCCTGTGACGGCATTTTCTGGTAAATAAACCAGTTTCTACTTCAAAGAACACGAATGCTTGGAAACTAACACCAGTATTGAAAATCGTTTTTCCATTTTGATAGCGTATCAAACTTGCCAGTAGTTTCAATGTGTTACCTGGCGTTGTACAAGATTTGCGTAATGTTTGGTAAGTCTATTGACAAAAGCAATATGGAAATGCATAAAGTAAGTATCAATTTTCTTTTAGTACAGTTGATGGTTACTTTGTTCATGGCTTTTGGCAGCATAGACTCCTGGCATACACATAAAGTTTGATCATTCGTTGCATGCGGCACTTAAGACAATCCATGCAGTGTCTTATAAGTAGTTCGATTTACGTATGTATGTTATACAAATGAGGCTAACATGATTTAGGGTTACTGCGGCCAAAAACACCTAATTTCGGGTCCCAAGGAGGCCGAATATTTTGCTGCAAATTATTCCAATGGTTTCATCCAAAGAAATGCTTATAATAGAAAATTTTTCCAAAGGATCGTAGAGAGTGATTTTTATTCTCTTGCCTTGTTACGCTGCACACATTTTTCGCGAACACGCAATTGATACGCAAAAGTAAAGTGCAGCCGCAATTGCAGTGATTTCATCCTGCTTGGTCCTAGCTGATGATATTTTGTCTATTTCTACAATGAGAAAAAGTGGGGTGCCAATGTTGGGATGAGCAACCCCATAATATTTCCATTTTACTTACGGTCCTTGTGATCGGAATGACCGAGGTCCACCTCAAGTGAATCGAGGTCTCAAAAGAGGTTCCTTGTAGCAACCCAACCACACAGCGGATTCTCTAAGTCCAACTTTGAAAATGACAAATCCTTTTTTCAGGTGAGTTCTGAAAAGGAAAGCAACCAGATCTCTTCGCTTCTTCCATCATAGCATTGCTTGATCTCGTATGACCATAACAGCATTCAGGTTCAAGTTACAGGTTGGTACTACGAGAAACACCAGCTATTTCATCTAAACCTCTAGATTTGGACTTGGTGAAACTTTATTGATCCCGGAATAATTGGTACCAGAAGGAAACCGGAATCGTCCTTCTAGCTTATAAAGACACTACCATAATTTTCATTTTGAATGTGGGTTGAAAATAATCAGCGCAACTTCCTAACATGCATGGTTATTCTAGCAAAAATTTATACTACCTAGTGAGTTAGATGACGATGCCAGTTGAATCTTTTCCCTTTTAGCCTAGTCTTGTTTTTCGTAGTATACGGTGTACGTTGCTCATGGATTAGTTGGTTTAAACGTTTTGTGCTTTTCTTCTGCATGCCTCGGTTTGTGTTGTTTTCCCATTTCATTTGGCGGTTGCCACCGATTACCTTCCTTTTATGTTCCCATAACCATTATGGTTTTAAATTCTGGTTGGCGTTTTTATCTCAGCCATCTCATAAAGCTACAAGTTTTGATCTTGTATAGGCCGCGGTTATTTGTTTCCTCGCTCACAACCTCGAGTAATATGTCATGTATTTATTTATATACACCTGAATTGCTCCCTTGATTACATATGATGATAAGATGGAAGATAATATGAATGTAGCGAAAGGAAATTTATGTCGAAAAAGCTTCCTCCATAACAATATCTGCCTCAAGCCTGAAAGATCGTGCACACATGACTACATTGCCCATGTAGTAGATACGATCGCGGATGCCGTTTCTGGGTATTGATAGGGACATATATTGAAAAGGTTTTAGTGTGTCTGTCGTTTTTGGTAAATTGGGTCCAATTAACACAATTGCTTTAGTTAACGTAGTAGATTTTCCTTTCAGCACGGAGGAAATTCAGAAATGCGGAGGATCTTGTGAATAATAAAGCGTTTTCCGGATTGGAAGGTTTCGCTGTGGCTCTCTCCTATCCCTGCACTCCACAACCGACGGTTTCGTCTTTGTTCAGAATCGACAGGTAGAGATAGCCGAGCTAGGAGTGGAACTCGGAGCATAGTGCTTGGCGGCTATCGCCATGATCACTAGGCCATTGAGCTCCCCGAGCAGTGTTTGACACAGCGGTTAGGATTATATTTTCGGGTTTTTTTGGAGCACCCGCCTTGTGTCTTGGAATGCGACACGCAATCCAAGAGCCACACGGAGTATTCCACTTCGGTGACGGTCCTAGTGACCGTATTGGCAGAGGCTGACTTCTAAATCAACCGACGCCACTTGATGCATTGCGTGTCGCAATCCAAGACGCACGGCGGATGCTCCAGAAAACCCGAAAATATAATTCTAACCGCCGTGTCATACACTGCTCGCGGAGCTCAGTGGCCTAGTGATCATGGCGATAGCCGCCAAGCACTATGCTTCGAGTTCCACTCCTAGATCTGCTATCGCTACCTGTCGAGTCTGAACAAAGACGAAACCGTCGGTCGTGGAGTGCAGGGATAGGAGAGAGCCAAAATGAAACCCTCCACTTCGGTGACGGTCTCAGTGACCGTATTGGCAGAGGCTGACTTCTAAGTCAACCGACGCCACTTGTGAGATTGCGTGTCGCAATCCAAGACATATGGCGGGTGCTCCAAAAAACCCGAAAATGGTTTTCCAGATTGTTTTTTATCTTCACCAAAGCTGAACGAAACATAGGTTGCGATGTCCACATTTCTATCGTTCACATCAGTCACAAACAGCTCACAGACGGAATAAATTGTTGACGGTATCCTATTGTCGATCTGCCTGTCACTGTTGCCTCAATCGAGACAGCCACAGAACACCTGCACCTACTAGCTTGCGCTACACCACGCGCAGCTCCACCAACACACCCCATATCCTGTGTAAATCCGAAGGAATACGACCCAGCTGTGTGTGGGTGGGAGCCACGTTTTATCAAAGGAACCAACCAACACTCCCACAACATGCACGGCAGCTACACTCTTTTCCGCCTAATTGGGATATCATGCGTACCAAACTTACAAAAGTCGTTGGCTGGGCAGTAGGGCTATCCACACAGAATGCATGGAATCACTCTTTGAACCTAGCACGGCCACGAAAATAATGTACTTCATCCCAACCTGTGAGGACTAGCAGTCTCCTGAAGCTAGTAACCGAATTGGAGAAATAGACAAATAGGCAGCATGTCAGCATTCACACAAGCGCAGACAGACAGGGGTTATCCAATTGCAAACAATGAATGAAAATAAACACGCAAATTGGACAGTAAACGTGAGAAAGTACAACAAAAGTGCGAATACAAAAACGTGCATTAAGTCTGCCATAGGTAAGGATGATAATTTGCAAGTGTAAGTGTATATCAGCGGGTATCAACCAACGAACATCAAAAGCAACAGAAAAAGCATACAGCGAATAGAAAGTATGCGGAGAATTAACAGAACTGAGCAGCTAACATATAATGAGCTGAAACAGATCAGGTGTACTGGGGAGAAATTCCCTCAATCTGAATTACGGTGAAGGAAACATAATACATGAATTATCAACCTCCGCGTATGAACAGAGACATAAATATGTAGATACCCTAAAGAGCAAGATGAATCAGCAAGCCTCAACCAATATCTTCTTTTGTTTTGATGAAATAACAACAGGAGCCGCAATGTTGCATAGCAGTGCAAGAAAAAGTTGCACAAATTTCTTAACAATAGTTTGTAGATTGCAATGGAAGGAATATTCTGTTGCATGAACGTGTCCGCGTGTCCAATTAAAAAGTATAGACAATTAAGTTTAGGAATTTTGAGGCAACTCAACGTTCTAGCGCACCACAATGTTCAGAAAAAAGAAGTCATTGTGTGGAATTCAGCATCAGTCTGGTGAGTATGAGCTAATCGAATTTCTCCGTCATTGTATGACTTTGTCTTGTGCCATAGTGTAAAAGTGAACATCACGCTAGTATTCGGCGCCTGTCTGTATGGAACAATGTGGAGATAAGTTCCGTTAGGTTAAGCAGTTTGAGGAACATCGCGGTATTTTCTCAAACTTTGATATGGTGTACTGCGCATGCTTACCGAAATTTATGCTATTGAAATGTTGTAATCGCGTCAAATTCAGTGCACAACACTGATAAGCCAAAACACTGTCAAACGCAGACACACAGCACATAAAGTTATTTAAGTTGTTTATGCTGGTGAAGGTTTAAGTAAACTCAACAACCATGTACGCGCGTTTCATCCTTTCGGGAATCGTCACAGTGCGCATTCCATTGGACCCTGGTAGGACTCGAACCCGCAACTTGAATCTTGCCAGTCTGTGCTTGAGAGCACTGAACTACGGGGAACAGTAACGACCATTGTGAATAAGTTACTAGATGTGCTATAGCGCCGCTCACTATCCACTGACTTACATGTTACTGCCGTGCAGAGGACAGGGTAGCACCTTCACCATGCGACGAACTTACCAAACTTAAGCCCCCAATTAACTTATGACATTATAAGCAGGCTGATCTGCGTACTTAGTCGGCTTGCGGGTTAGAGCTCTACCAGGGTGCGATGGGATGCGCACTGTTGACGATTCCCGAAAGAGAAAACGCGCGTATTGTGCTTTCCAGGCGTGTGACGGCTGTCTGAGTGAGTGTAGATTTGACAAATTTCTACCTATACCACTCAACTCCCTCCTACTATTCCTCTGTAAATTCAATAAATGGAGAAAAGAAAAATAGGGATGACTGATGCAGGGACGTTACACCAAAACTTAAAGTCGCAGTTGCATTTGCCGCCAATATTCTGGCAGGATTTGGACACAACTGGGCTCATATCACTAAAGAGAATAGA